CACACACACACACACACACACACACACACACACACACTCTCTCTCTCTCACTCTCTCTCTCTCTCACTGTGTGTGAGTGTGCGCGTATGTGTGTGTAATATAGATAGATAGATAGGAGGAATGGTGTGGGAAAGACCGAGTGTGTGTGTGTGTGTGTGTGTGTGTGTGTGTGTTGTGTATGTGTGTGTTTTGTGTGTGTGTGTTGTGTGTGTATGTGTGTGTTTTGTGTGAGTGTGTGTGTGTGTGTGTTTGTGTTGTGTGTGTGAGTGTGCGTGTCCGCGTACGCGTGTGTGTGTGTGTATGTGTATGTGTGTGATTTGTGCATGCCTCTCCTCTCAATACCCAGACACCCAATTCAATTGCCGCCTTCGCCTGAACAGAAAATGGCATATTTAAATCAGCAAAGACAAAAACAGAAATAATCAAAGAAACAAAATAAAGCCCCAACATAAAAATAAACTAGATACGAAACAAACAATGTGCATTAAAAGGGTAAACATAAATGAGCTTTAAAACTCTATCGAAAACATAATTGATTGGAATCTTGGCGTAGGTGGCGAGTTGGAAAGTGGGTGGGGATTGGCGGATATTTTTCAGGAGTCGACGAGCTCTTCAGAAGTCGTTTGGTCGTGTTTCTGACGCGCGCAAGAGCCTTAGTGTAAACGCTCGTCAATCAGTTCTTTTGTTTTGTTTGTTTGTTTAGTATAGGGTTTTACAGCGCTCGCAACTGCATAAGGTCATTTGAGCGCGCAGGACACACCTAATACTTTTTCGTTGGTAGGAAATTTTGAATTTTGCCCGCGTGGCGGCCGAAGCCTACTCTTATCGATTTTAGACCACCAAGGGATCTTTAACGTGCGCAACTTGCACACGGGCCCTCCGAGATTTTTCGCCCTTGTCCGAGAAGGCTAGGTGTAGATCTTTCCTACCAGAAGATCAGGGGTGTGGTAGAAAGACAGCTGTAAGAAGGAGTCAAGGAGTAACAGTAGAAAGGCTGCAGAAAGAGTCAGGAGCCCAGAGGAGGAGGCAAGGGAGGTGAGGGGGTGGGGGCAGAAAGAGGAGACGAAAGCAGACGACAGAATATTGCTAGAGAGCAGGAAAGGAGGTGAAAGGAGACAATTTTAGAGAAGAAAATTTTTCGGTCGCTACCCGGATTCGAACCCGGGACCTTTGAATGAGAGGCCAACACCTTAACCTCTAGGCCACGAGAGCCCCCCCTTCTTTTGTTTGCGGAAATGAAACTGCAACAACAGCTCTTGATGACCGTTTATTTTTTAATGGCAAGCACAAATGACATACAATCCAAGCTCTCATTGTAATGATGAGGTATTTAGTAGGAATGAGAGTAGCTTGTCTTTAATGTTCTCTGAGAACCTTTCCTTCACAAAAAAAAATACAAAGACAACCCCCCCCCCAAAAAAAAAAGTACAAAAACCCCCCAACAAAAAAACAACAACAACAAAAAGCAACTGAAACAAACAAAGATGAATATACGTTCGTATAATGAAACTAGAATAAACAAAAATAAATGTAAATCAAATAACAACATATTTTAACAGAAGAAAAAACGGTTAATCCATTTCCTCTTTTACCGGTTACTGGCAACTTTAAAACATTTTCAATGCTTTTTCGTAAATGCTACATGATAATAAAACGTGTACCCTCAGCTGCAGGCTATTTACTTTATTTTTCGACAGTCTCCTCTGCGATCCACTCACCGCCACCAACACAAGACCAATTTGCACATGTTGCAAACGAAGAAATCAGAAGACTTTTCTAGTCTATGCATCCCATCCAAATGTGGGCCTCTACTTCAGCATCATTATCATAGTCTCTCTCTCTCTC